TGCATCCAGACAGTCTGAACAGATAGAATGAATGCATTTTGGTCTTAATGTACATTATTTAATTTCATATTCTGTTCTTGTACATATTCTATTTACATGTATATAGACTCCTTGCTCTATTTTGTATGTTATTGTATATGTTGCATTGTTGGAGGAGCTCAGGTCAGAAGAATTTCATTGCCATGTCTACACTGTAGCTTTGTGCATATGACAATAAAACCTTAGAGTTTGAACGTCTGCACAGCCTTCTCTTGATAACTGGACTCAAACTCACACTGTACATTTCACATTTATATTCAATCTCATATTTAATAATCCAGTCCTGGCTAAATTAAAGTATATATCTAGTCTTTTCAGTTCTCTAATGTTCAATGCCTTGTCTTTTCATGCTGCTGCAACGCAAACATTTCCCACATTGGGATCAATAAAGTTCTTCTTATCTGATCTTATCTTAAAATATACCACACAGTAGTCTGACATATATTCAGTGTTCCAAGTCTTTTAGTTTTTTAGGTTCTTTTGTATTAAATGTATATTTTTTGACCTCTTTTGCAACTTATGGTCTGAAGTTGTTTATGTTTGCACCACAATACACCAGAGCTAATCCCTCTGTGTGTACCTGGTGATAAACTTGATTCTGAATTTAGGAAGTTAATGCGTGTTAAAAATGTGCAGCAGCTCATGAAGGATATTGACTTCCTCTCATCTGAACATGTCTCCTTCTCCTCTCTCCTCATGGTCCTTGGATGTATAACGAGATGACGATGAGCTCTTCTGATTCCCCACTTTAAATATGTCTATATATTGTTGATCAAATCCATGCTTTCCTGTTGTGTACAAAATGGTGGACCTAATAATAAAGAAACCAATCATTTAAGAACGTGTGTTGTTCTTTTAGTTTTGTATATAAATGCATCATGTTTTCCAAGTTGATCAAATAAACTCATGAATACAAGATTAAAACATAGTTTCTCTATCTTGGTCAAAGTGTTGATGAACCAGTTTGTACCTTTTGGTTTGATGAGCTTCAGGTCACCAGGACTTGCTTTGTTTTTATTTCTGTACTTGGGTACATTTCTACGCTGAAGGATTTTAATTCTGCTCTCTGCAATGAGCAAAAAACGCATTGGTGGCTAAATATATTTGACTAAATATACACTGTAATTAAAAAAGTATTTCCTTATCCATAATTACTCGTGACATATTGCATAGTTATGATATACCCCTGTTCTTTGGAAACAATATACATAAGAAACAAGACTTTAAATCCATATTTATTCTATAAGAACTGCAGTGAGTGCATATTTGAGTTGTGTTGTATTTGTTAACACGACTAAAGTACACATTTGAATTATTGTTGTCGATTCACATATACACAAACCAAGTATAAAGTCCAGTCGTTGTTCTAATCAGTATTTACATATAAGTGCTTTGTTATTGTTTAACCTTTTATACATTGCAATAAAACAACACAATGATTTGCTTCTGAACATGAAATAGAAACCTTGCAGACAGGTGTTTGCCCCTCTTTGCTCTTCTCTTCACCACCAGATGGCGACAGGAGCCTGGATATCTGTTTCTTTCTCATAAGCAGTAAGTTGTACCAAAGCCCTATAACTGAAAGAGTTGCAACAGCGGAAGTCCAAAATGTTTGATCGTCACGTGGTGGTCTCTTTATAGGGCTTTGCTTCAGTCTTACTCATACAGGGGCTGTTTCTCAAAGTCGAGGACGCTTCCTTCGTAGGACATGTCCTTCCGAGTCAGGTCCTTCAGAGGCTAGGCAAGAATCCTTCCTAGCATTCGGAGAACGAAGAATGGAACAGGCTAGCAAGTGTGCAGGTGTGCAGGTGTGCGTCATATGAGAGGCCCCGCCTTAAATTGAGCGCGATTTGTTTGAAGACTCATAACTGATTTGCGAAGATCGAAGATGTACTTGAGTAACTGTGTTTTGTAAAAGGATCATCTCTCCAGGACAGAACCACTAAACTAACATAACACGTTCTCCTTCTGTTTGCAGCCTTGAAAAAATCCTGGAGGATAAGCAGCCATAAGAAAATCATAAAATCACCATCACCAATCAATAATACAATGTGTATTCATATATCATACTTGATGTCTGCAAACCTCTTTTACACATCTTGGTGCACATTGTAGCATAAACCACAAATATCAACAAAAGAGGCAAAGTCCAAACAAGGTTCATTTTAATTATTTATTTGGAGGCTCTGAAGGATCCTTCCTTGACATTGAGAAGCAGCCACAGTATAGGAAAAGCAATTACAAAAGGTTTAAAAATAGAAAAGCATTTCCTTGTGTGTGTGGTTTAGGCATGGATGTATAATAAGAACTGGATACAGCGTCGGAGGCGGGGTCTCGTTCTTTCCTATGAGAGCTGCTCATTGGCGCATGAAGGCAAAATGGCCCAACTTTTGAGAGAGCGAAACGTCACAGATTACCCGTCATGCTTGGCTGTCAGAGCAGAAGAACCTGTGGGTGTTTCTCAATGTCGAGTGCGCTTGCTTGGTAGCACATGTCTTCCGAGTCACTTGCTTCAGAAGCGAGGCAAGAATACTTCCTGGCATTCGGAAAACAAAGAGTGGAACAGGCGAGCAAGTGTGCGTCATATGAGAGGCCCCGCCTTACATTTTCCGCCACAGATTTGGGGAAATTGGTCCGTGCGCAAAGCATTGTGGGGATTTTAAGACCGCAGAGTCTACACATGTGCAGCCTCGAAATTTCTCGCTACGAACAGGCCCGGTTCCAGAACAAAATGACTCAGGGTGCATCTGAGATTAGAGAGGGTGCAGTGGTAAAGAGCTATTTTTATTAGTGGGGAGTGCACCTAACACCCTCTAGAGGGGTCGTCACCTCCTCTAGGGGGGTCCGGGGGCATGCTCCCGGACCCCGGGAGCAATATTGAAGTTAAAAGCATCAATCTGGTGCACTTTGAGAGCAAAATGAAGAGATCTATGGATACATCTCTCAACATCCATATGAAACAGAACTGTACACAGATTTACTTTTTCTTAATGGATATTTTACAAATCACTCCCCTTTTAAGACCGAAATGTCTACAGGCATAGCAGAAGATGGCATCTTTTTTACAGGAATATTCCAGCCAATCTCTGTTTTGAAACCATGAGCTGCAAAATGAGTGCCTTACCCCACTGTACAGGCGAGTTGGGTACTTTTTTAAATATACCTGGGCAGGCTCTGTTTTGCCGAGGTCCTCTGGCACTTGCGGGCCGCCGAGGGGTGGCGTGTTTGGGGCAACGAAGAAGGCTGTGGCTGCTCCGCCTCCGTGGGCGAGGCGGGCGGGAGGACGTTTTTTTTACGGTAACGTAATGTCCCCATGATCTGAACTGTTATTACATGCAGTAGATGCATTGTTACTGCTGGCGATAAAGGCTGGATGTTTTAACCATTTTCCATCATTGACTGCTGTGTAAGCACTTTGCAAATGACGAACGCGCAGGGGCACAGGTCACGCGCACCTGACATAATAACGTTACTTACTGTTTAAATTGACCAAATAAATGCAGCAGACAATGTTATTTAACCACAATTACAATTTATTTTATTTCAACTATATTCTTCTTCTTCTTATTATTATTACTACTATTATTATTATTATTATTATTATTGTTATTATATATGTAATATATTTCACCCCTTATGCACCCCCGTAGAACCGGGCCTGGCTACGAAGTACGCCGGGCTCGGTAGAATTCCAAGTATGCTGGACATTGGAACAGTCCTTCGGCGGCACTCGATGACGTAGTATGCTTGAAATAGTGGCTCTGGCAGAGTTCCCGTTAGCCGGTAATTACCGGACTATGACCGGTAAAATATGCTGAAGACCGGAAAATCTAAATCAAAATGTCCGGTCAAAATAATTTTCCCTTAGCGCAATACCGCATCAGTTGCGCCATTTATGTGACCGACAAGAAGAGTATGTGACAGACAAGAAGAGTATGTGACAGACAAGAATAGTCAATTCTAATGTCTAACACTTAATGTGGAGAAAGAGATGTCCTGTATGGGTGGATTGGTGCGTTGATCTGTTGGTAATGCCTCGGGGTTTCGGTGGGCATGTAAACAAATGTATATACTATACTTTGTGGCCTTACCCGGTTGGATAGCGACGCTTATTGTTTAGGTGTCTTTTAATAAGCAGGTAGTCATATCATTAGCTAGAACTAGCTGGATCTGATCGATATGGACATAAACGCGAGTAGAGTCTAATCTGACGGGAGAGAGAGATCAGCTGCTGCTGACGAGTCGACACGCAGCTCTGCATGATCACCTGCAGCGGCGAGCGGAACAAAACACACACTTCAGGTTAGAATATCACACTTAGCTATTTGAATTACCTCTCAAACTACCTAAACTAGTTATAGATATGTTTAGTTTTACTGTCGGGTCACTCATGACTGGATCCGCGAGCTGCATGATACTGGCGGGCTGTCAGGAGAAGGAGAGAGCGCTCCGTTTATTATTCCCGCGTTTTTGTAAGTTACTGTACACTTTTGAATAACGTAGTTAATCTACTATAATTAGTTTGTTTAATATCGAATAATATCAATTCGTTTTAAAACTCAATAAATAACAAAGAAGACCTTTGACCGGCACTTTTCTCATTTTCTCCGGAAGATTTCAACTTTAAAGGACATGTTGACCTGCAAAAAAATATTCTAACGGGAACTCTGGGCTCTGGAGCAGCTTTACTCGACATTGAGAAACGGCCCATATGTGCACTCACAGAGCATGCGCCCCTTAAGCCCCGCCCCCCGAGCTCCCACTCTCGGCTCACTAGAATGAATGGAGAGAGAAAATATATCTAGATTCGGCTTTTAGTGCATTTTATAACTTTAAGGACCGAATTATTCTAATCAAGGCTATAAAATAGTTCATACTGGGTATTTTATTTAGTTAAAAAAAAAGATCCACCGATTTACAGATGTCTTTTTCCCCATGTTAGTCAATGGGGAAAAGTATTTTTGGGCCGGGTGACGTCACGGACTGATACGGATGTTGCAGTACCGCCGTTTGGACACAACCCATTTTGAGAGTCCGGAGCACTTCCTGGGGGCTTGGGTTTAGGGAGGGCGGCGCCCTATCGCCCCCTATGGGCCAGCCGCCACTGGGTAGAAGTACAAAGTAGCAAAAATATTGAGTTACTCAAGTAAAGTATAAGTACTTCAGAATTGTACTTAAGTACAGTATTTGAGTAAATGTACTTAGTTACTGAACACCACTGGGTTTAATTCACTACCTAAGTATATTATATTTACATTCACCAGCACAAACAGGTACAGGTTTTTGCAGTTTGATAATACAACACAAATAAAACTCCAAATCACATGCCTAGGTACCAAATGCCCCAAAATCCCAAATCTTACCCAGAAGTCAGTACCAATTGGTAAAATAACAACAAGCCCTTATTTTTGTCATAACCCGGCTCCTATGCCTGACAAAAATGTGAAAGGATGCAATGGATGCTGGTAAATTAAAGTATTGTATGTAATAAAGTAAACATTTACTTGAAAAAAAATACGGGTTGCTACTCTCAGGAGGGAGTCCAGGAGAAAAGAGAGAAGGAAAGTGGCCTTCGCTCAGAATCTGTGTTACCTTCAAGGACAAGGGGGAAAATGTACAGGTAACAAAACAGAGGACTAGACTTCAACTGTCACACACACTCCACAAGGTTTTTCCTCAGCTCAAGTTGAGCTTTCTGTAAAGATACGGGTCCAGCTCACGGAGAGCATTGATCAGAACCCTGCTGGCTTCAGCTCCTTTATTTCGCACAGCGTCCACCATCTCTCGTGCTCCGTCATTTTGGGGTTTTGCTCTGGCCGACGTCATTTCAGATTCGGTGATCACTCCAGACTCAAAGAGTTTATCCAGAAGGTCGATCAGGAGAGTTGGAGTCACTCTTCGAATGAACTCTGTCCGAACTGAGAACAGCCACTGGTCTGCAGAGTCTCTGCTCTCTGCTGAGTCTCTGCTCTCTGCTGGGACTCTGCTCTCTGCTGGGACTCTGCTCTCTGCTGGGACTCTGCTCTCTGCTGGGACTCTGCTCTCTGCTGGGACTCTGCTCTCTGCTCGGACTCTGCTCTCTGCTGGGACATTTCTCTGGGACAATTCATTCCTTGGAACTGGAAGATAAACAGGGAAAATACTTTTGTTAACCAACAATCACATTAAACAGATCTCTTAAAAATTAAAGTATCTCGACATTCCCAGAGGTGGATTTCTGTTCACTTAAAGTTATAATATGTAACATTTCCTCATTAAAATGTATAAAAACTCCTACAACTGTATTATTTATATTTTGTTGAGTTGTGTACAAACATTATCGCAAATGGTTCAGAGAGATGTGTAATTTTAATCAAGGTAACAGTACGTTCATCACGGTCTCCTGTAAGTGGCGGCATATCCACTTAAGCATTAGAAGCTGAAGACTACAACTCCCATAATGCCACGCTGTTTCACCACTGCACAACACTAGTTTTTATTATGGTTTTAGAATATAACAGCTTGTGTGTTTAGTAATGATGCGCTGCCATGGAGCCTTAATAGAGAATGCTATGAGATGGAGCTTTAGAGTTATCCAGTCTATCACTGGGTCTGAGCTCAGGTGGAGTCTTTACCTTCCAGTGACACGCGACAATACCAGACTACATTTCCACCTTGGTCCTTGACCTTCAAAACCACTCTCTCTGTGCTCGTCGTCAGGGAAACTAGAAATGCCGGGTAGTAGTTTGGTCCAAACCTGGAATCAAATGTTTTACTCTGGAAACCAGAAGCAGAAGTTAAATGTTTATCTGGATCTTTCCTGATTGTGAATCCACATGCAGATAAATGTGTGTTAATGATCATTGTGTTTCTTTAGAGGAGTATCAGTGACTCACCTGAGGCTGAATGAAGAAGCCCTCAGGTTCACAGTGCACACTGTAACTGTGATCAATGTCCAGCTCACAGTCGGAGGAGATTGGGATGTTCACAGGCAGAGCACGTCTGTGTTTAACAACCTTCAGAAACAGGACATTTTGATCAATTTAAAACAACATGTTGACAGACCTGCTCTACAGAGATATAAGAATTACAATCAATTAAGAATAACATCATGAGGACATATGTGAGTAGATTAATTAAAGTGTATAGGTTAGATATTTTTGGATGAGATTCCAATTCTCCAACACATTTTTTAATATATTTATTAGGGTTGTTTACAGAGCCCCTAAAGCAGGGGTGCCCAACCAGTCGATTGCGAGATGTGTCTAAAAATAGAACAACAATATTCAGTTTTATCGTTAATGTCCTATAACATAATCTTCCTGTGCCAGAATAATGCACTTGAACGCATCAAAGCTTTGTGATTGGCCGGCGTGACCCCATGTGTCGGGCCGTGGCTGGTGGGCAGTGGGCACTAGTTAGCTGACGTTGTCCGTGGCAACAGGAGTGACAGTCCGCACACACACAAGACCGCAATTATGGCAGAAGCAAAAAAGCCCAAAATATATCATTTTCACTCAGAGTGGGAGGATGATTATTTTTTTGTTTATTCCAATTCAAAGTCCATCTGTCTCATCTGCAATGCGAGCGTGGCTTTACCGAAGAAGGGTCATTTAGAGCGGCATTTCAAAACGGTGCACAAACGCTACGAGACGGAATTCCCTCCTAATTCTGCCCTACGCTCTTCTGTTCGTTGCGTGCATATGTAACAGAGTTAAACATGTGAATACATCATTATAAGTTTGTGAATGTTTAATTCATAATAAGTTGTGAATTTTAAGAGATGAGATTGTTTCATTTAATATTTTAAGTTTTGTTTACCGTGGGAACACCTTCCCGTTGCACGTCTTTGTTTACTTCCGGTATGTATTTTCCACCCTCCGCGGACTGGCCATCTGCAGAATCTGGAGAATCACAGAACGGCCGGTCGTCAACGTCTGGCTCGATTCTCTGACGGGCGTCACCGCACTTCATTTTTTATTTTTGTAAAAGTTGCACCGACAGAGGTCCGCCGTTTCCCCGCAGCGAGCCTCCCCCCCAGTTGACAGTTCGCTAGCACTTGGTTCAAAAAACGTTGGGCACCCCTAAAGGGTCATGAAAAAAATAAAACTAACTTGTGCGCACAATATACTTTCTCGTGCACTCAAGAAAGTTACCGGTTCACCAAGTAGGAGAGATGTGCCTTTTACACACCGCCTTCACTGTGTTTACCTTCATTAGAACAGCTGAAGAGAGATCGAGGCTGCTACGTTTTAACCACACACACCTCTACACACACACACCTCTACACACATCGAACTGCCTGATTATTACGCCATATTATTAGTTTTATGAAGATGTCCGGTCGCCAGGGCGTGTGTGTGTGTGTGTGTGTGTGTGTGTGTGTGTGTGTGTGTGTGTGTGTGTGTGTGTGTGTGTGTGTGTGTGTGTGTGTGTGTGTGTGTGTGTGTGTGTGTGTGTGTGTGTGTGTGTGTATGTGTGTGTGTGTGTGTTGTGGGGAAAGGCCCATAACTGTGACCCAGTCTATCAGTTTGTACTGACCTCACTGAGCACAGGCACCTGTAGCCTTGGCTGCTGTGCTCTCAGTGTTTTGTCTCCCTGTTCCTGCCTGTTGGCGTCAGCTGATAGAGGTGTTATCGTTTTATCTTGTTATGCACAATGTTGATTCTCCTCTCAGAACAAGCTAAATACATGGGTCTGGGGTAGAGTGCTTGCATCTCAACCTGTGTCAACTCGTGGCTCATGACCTGTCTTGTGAATTCTCCGGCCGAAGCTCCAAATAAACCATCAGTGTTTGCCATCAAAGCTCCAGTTCTCCTCGTGTCTCACCGAGTCCTGTTTCCAATTGCTTCAGAAGTTTCCCTCACGTGTGTGTGTGTGTGTGTGTGTGTGTGTGTGTGTGTGTGTGTGTGTGTGTGTGTGTGTGTGTGTGTGTGTGTGTGTGTGTGTGTGTGTGTGTGTGTGTGTGTGTGTGTGTGTGTGTGTGTCGTCATCTCCTGTGTGCTCCACTTCCTACTTGGGGCACCGGTAACTTTCTCGTGCGCACGAGATACTTTTTGTTTTTTCCATGACCCTTTAGGGGCTCCGTAGTTGTCAACATTAACGTGTCAAAACTCACGATTAATCTGGAAACCTTGACACGTTAAAAGAATGAATGCATATTAATCACAGGACCAATTCCTGTAACGCGATCACACGTGATGCCGGCTCTAATCCCTAAAAACTACCAGAGGCTTGGCTAGCCATGGCTAACATCACTGTGACAGTCTAATGGAAGATCAAGGACAAAACTCCCCAGTTTGAATACTTAATGTCCGGCTCTGACCTGAGGACAAGCAAAGGACTTTTTGCTCCACTGATCTAAACAAACACTAGAGTTAGATATTTGAAACAATTACTATTTATAACAGATAGGAAAGTTTACATTTAGCCAGAAGGTTTATTACCTGGGCGGGTTACTATACCCATCCCCCTACCTGAGGAAGACAAAAGGACATAGGAGAGGCCAACTCCTCTCTTTTCCTCTCATCTCTGTAACCCCCTTTTTGTATTCTCTCAAATCCTTATCACCTTAGCCTTTTCCTCTCTGTACTTTTATTTCATTAGTTCTTAGTTTAGTATTAAACATTTCACTTAAATGGCTTTTCTTTTGTAAATAGTATATCCTCCAGCCACCTCCCCCAGGTCCACCGCTGTGTTCCCTCCTTTATTCCAGCACAGCAGCCACCGCTCATCGGTTCAGTAAGACAATGCAGTCCGTATGCTTGGTATGGTCATTTTCAGTTATTGATTTAAAGGTCACCTATTAAGCTAAATCCTCGTCTTCAGTGTCTCTTCTACATCAACATCTGTCCCCTCTTCTTCATGTCTCTTCTACACAACATGTGTCCCCTCTTCTTCATGTCTCTTCTACATCAACACTGTGTCCCCTCTTCTCATGTCTCTTCTACATCAACATGTGTCCCCTCTTCTTCATGTCTCTTCTACATCACCATGTGTCCCCCTCTTCTTCATGTCTCTTCTACATCAACATGTGTCCCTCTTCCTCATGTCTCTTCTACATCAACATGTGTCCCCTCTTCTTCATGTCTCTTCTACATCAACATGTGTCCCCTCTTCTTCATGTCTCTTCTACATCAACATGTGTCCCCTCTTCATGTCTCTTCTACATCAACATGTGTCCCCTCTTCTTCATGTCTCTTCTAATCAACATGTGTCCCCTCTTCCTCATGTCTCTTCTAATCAACATGTGTCCCCTCTTCTTCATGTCTCTTCTACATCAACATGTGTCCCCTCTTCTTCATGTCTCTTCTACATCAACATGTGTCCCCTGTTCTTCATGTCTCTTCTACATCAACAGTGTCCCCTCTTCTTCATGTCTCTTCTACATCAACATGTGTCCCCTCTTCTTCATGTCTCTTCTACATCAACATGTGTCCCCTGTTCTTCATGTCTCTTCTACATCAACATGTGTCCCCTCTTCTGTTCTTCTTATGTCTCTTCTACATCTCTTCATACATCAACATGTGTCCCCTCTGTCTGAAAAGGAGCTGATCAGATTTTGGCCACTTTATGATTCAATAAACGATTTTTGGCTTGTGTACCCATTAACCAATCAGCAACCAAGGTAACCAGTATTTGCTAATATTCAGTTCAGATAGATCTGATTCTTCTCACAACCAAGACAGTTTGAAAAGAGGAGCAGTGGCTCAGTCAGTAGGGGCTTGGACTGAGAGCCTACGTGCGTGTTTGGTCCCGGAAGGAGAGAAGTGAATTGTTTGTTTTTGTGTGATTCTCGTTTGTTTCGTCCAACGTATAGTTTGTTTTTTTTGTTCGTAGTTCCCCCCCCCAAACAGCTTTGCTGTCTGGGGGTTTCCCCCGACCTGTGTGTTTTTCTTTTTGATGGATATACTGGCAACGAAAACTGGAATGGCTTTATCAACTGCATCACGGATCACGGACATTGACACATTACAGCGGAGTGTGGAGAGGGATGGAAAAACTGTGAATGAACAAGGAAAGGACAATGACAACGAGAATACGAGCGGGACAAAATGGAAAAACAGGAGTAGGGAACAAAAAGAGGTGAGAGAGGAGTTGAGTGGGTGGTGGAAGGGAGGAAATATAGAGAGCTTACTGTGGTGGTGGCGGTGGAAAGCGGAAAAGCAGTGGTATCTGTAATGGATCTGCTAAAAGGAGTTAAAAAAGAATGTGGAGAGGTGATGGGGTGCAGGGTGAAAGGAGATGGCCTATATGAAGTGACAATGGCTGATGAAAAAGGAAAAAATAAAATAATGGATGGGATAAGGATAAACGGAGCCATGGTGCGGGGCAGAGACTGTATGATAAAAGAACTTACAGTATCATTCCTTAACATACCGGCTTACATTTTGGATACCACAATTAAAGGCAGATTGGCAATGTGGGGGGTTCTGCCTGTCTCGGCAATAAAGAGAAGAGTGTGGCCAGGCACAAAGGTTGCTGATGGGACGAGGTTCCTGCGGGTGAAGTTCAACAAGGAAGTAACGTCACTCCCGTACTCAACCAGATTTGATACTCTCGAGGGTCCGGAGTACTTCAGGGTGATCCATAAACAAGTGCCGGTCTGCAGGTTGTGCATAAGGCCAGGGCATTTATATAAAGAATGCCCTGAGTTCAGATGCTATAAATGTGCCAAGCAGGGACACTATGCCCGGGACTGTGTGGCTCGGGAAGAGGGGGCGAGTGGAGCCAGGGGGAGAAGAAGTGCCCAGGCGGAAAAAAACTGAGAATGAAATTGAGGAAGAGGAGGTGGAAGTCAGGAAGAGAGTGAAGAAGAGGGCAGAAGTGATGAGGCTGGGAGCAGTTTAAACAAAGAAGCTGTGGCTGCTGTTGCGGCTATATTTGTTGCTGCTGCTGCAAAGAGAGCCGCTGATACGGCTGCCGCTGACGATGGAGGAGACGGAGGGAGGAAGAAGGGGAAAGCAGACTACGGAGGTGCGTGTAGTAGTGGAGCCAATGCTGCTGCTGTTCCAGCTGCTGATGTTCCTGCTGCTATGGATGCTGGAAAGGCTGCGAGGAGTGGTGAGGGTTTGGTGGATACTGAGGCGGATGCTGATGTGGATGTTGATCCGGGTGCGGATGCTGATGCGGAGGCTTGATTGCGGATGTGGAAGCTAAACCTGATGCTGGAGGAGGAGCTGTCGGTGAGAGGGAAGGAGGAGAGGGAGCAGGAGATGGAGGAGGTGATGGTGGAGACGGGGGACAGACTGCTGAGGAAATGGAGGTCAGTTCGGTCGTGTCTGACATGGAGGAGGGAGGAGACTACGAGGAGAACGAGTCTGATGGAGAAGAGGTGGAGATGATGGGACCTCTGGGGGGGAAGATCTTCGGAGAGACAAACGCTGTGATAAGAGCAGAGGAATAAGGAGAGAATCCAGCAGGCTAAATGCAAAGAGGAAAGTAGAGAAGGATAAGGAGGTGGAGAAAAGACGGGTGAAAACAGTCAGGAGGAGCTACAAAGTGTCTGGAAAAAAAAATGAATAGAATGAATACAATTACAACTTTCATAACACTCGTAATGGTGACAATTTCCTCCTTCAATGGAAATGGGCTGAGGTCCAAGGACCGGAGAGAGCAGGCCTTAATAATATGTGACTCAGACATTATATGCTTGCAGGAGGACACATTGGGATGAGAGGTGTGTGGAGGATGTAAGGAAAGAGTGGATGGGAGAAATGTATGTAAATAATGGGAGTGTGGGTGCTAGAGGGGTGTGCAATATTAATTAAAGCAGGGGTGGTAACGAATATAAGGAAAGTGGAGGATGATGGTGTTGGGAGAATGGTTGGGATAATGTTCGAGTGTATGGGGAAACTTTAGATTAGTTAACGTATATGCACCGAATGAGGTTAGAAGGAGGAGGGAGTTTTTTGAAGGGTTAGAGGGTACATGTGGGGGAAACTGTATGATTGTTGGTGACTTTAATGTGTGGTGTTCGAAACTGGATGTGTCTGTTAATATGGGTTTTAATAGTGATTCATCACGTGGTGCTCTCAAAACAATAATGGGGACAAATGGACTGCTGGATGTGTGGAGGGAAAGGAACAGTAGGGAGCGGGGTTTTTCTAGGGAATAAAGTGGTGGGAGGTATATTAAACAGAGTAGAATAGATTTAGTGTGGAGTAATTTAGGGGAGAAATTGGCAGATTGGGTATAGGAAATACTGCCATGAGTGTATCATAACATCTTGAGTTTCTGCATTGGAACAGGTGATGAAGGAAAGAGGAGGTGGAGTGGTGCCTAAATGCCTGTCTGCTGAAGGATGATGGATATAAGTTAAAGTGAGAGAATGTATGGAAAAAAGGGGAGGTTTGAATGGTGAGGATGTGGGGGGTGTGTTGGGAGGGATTTAAAAATGAAATAAAAGGGATAAGTATAGGATTTGTAAAAATAGGAATAAAATAGAAAGAGAGAAAGAGAAAAAGGTTAGGGAAGAGTTACATTTAGAGGCTCAAAGGGTAGATATAGAAATAGGGAGAGATCTGGATGAGTATAGTCGTCTGAAGGATGAGCTGGGGGAGATAGAGAAGAGAAAATGTAGAGGGGCTATAGTTAGAAGTAGGCTAGGTATGCAGTTGAAGGAGAGAAAAGTACAGGGTTTTTTTTGGCATTAGAGAAGTAAAGCAGAGAAAGAATAATATAGAGCAGGTTGAAGGAAAACCTTTTATAGGGAGTTATTTGAGGCTGAGGAGATTGATAGGGAGAGCTTTAGAACAGGTGATAGATAGTATGGAAGCTAGGTTGAGTGATGAAAGGTAGGGAAATGTGTGAGGGGGAGATAGGACTAGGGGAGATAGAGTTAGCAATAGCAGGGTTAGGAATAAGAGTCCAGGGATAGATGGTCTGACATCCGAGTTCTATATAGAGTTTAGGGAGGGGCTGGCGCCAATACTCCTTAAAATCTACAGGAGCCTGGAGGAGAGGGAGGAATTGCCGGCCGGTATATCTACAGGGATTATTAGTATATTGTTTAAGAAAGGAAATAGGAATAAATTAGAAAACTATAGACCACTTAGTATGTTAAACACGGATTATAAAGTGCTAGCACGGGTGTTAGCGAATAGAATTAAGAGGGTTATAAAATCAGTAGTGGGAAACACACAGGCGTATAGTATTCCAGGGAGAGATATTTGTGACACTATTAGTAGTATTAGGGACACAATTAGTCACATGAAGGAGGGTATAGGTGGGATAGTAGTTAGTTTAGATTTAAATAAAGCTTTTGATAGGGTTAGTCATGGATTTTTGTATAGAGTGTTAGAGAAGGCAGGATTTGGGAAAAGATTAATAGGGTGGGTAAGGAGGATTTATAGTAGTGCAGTCAGTTGCGTTAAAATTAATGGGGTGGTAACCAATGTGTTTAAGTTAGGGAGGTCGGTCCGGCAAGGATGCCCTCTCTCAGCAATGCTGTACGCGCTGTCAGCCGAGCCCCTCGCGACTCTGCTGCGGCAAAACAGGTTTATAAAAGGAGTGGAGGTGCCAGGAGGGGGGGTTAGTTTAGTTTATCAGTATGCAGACGACACCAACATTACAGTTAAAGATAGGGAAAGTGTTAGGGAAGTGTTGAAGACAGTCAGTTTGTATGGTAGGGCATCAGGAGCTAGGGTGAATTTAGATAAATCAGAGATTATGTACATAGGACAGGTGAGGGATAGGAGTTGTGATATAGGGTTGAAGGAAAATAAGGACTATTTTAGGGTGTTGGGGATCAATTTAGGGATTAAAGAAGTGGAGGGTAGAGACAGACAGTATGTAGAGTTAATTAATGGAATAGTGAAGACGTTGAGGTTTTGGAAGATGAGGGGGCTTAAGTTGAGGGGGAAGATAGCTGTAGTGAATGGGTTAATCATGAGTAGGGCACTTTATATAATGACGGTTTTAGATGTGCCGGATAGTGTAGTGAATGAAATAGATAAGATAGTTAGTGAGTTCATATGGGATGGGAGGGGGGTAAGGATAGCTAGAGAAGTGCTAGAAAATGAGTGTAGGGATGGAGGTTTACAGCTGATAAACTTAAGAAGGAAAATTAAAGCAATTAGGATTAAAATGATGGTTCGCTATTTGGGAAATAAGGAAGATCAGTTATGGAAAATATTCTTAAAGGAACAAATAAATAAATGTGGAGGATGTGGTGATAGTGCTATTTTTATGGTGCTAAGAAAGGGGATGTTGAAAGGTTTGAGTGCTTATCAAAGGGAAGTAATGAGTGCATGGGGTGAGTTTTTGAAGTATGTTAGGTATGAGTGTGTGAATGTGCAGCAGGTGTGGGAGCAGCCGATCTTCCTTAACCCTAGGATCACTCATGAGAAGTGTTCCTTATTCAATCTGCCGATGTGGAGAGCGGGGATGAGGAGGGTTAAGGATTTAGTTTTAGAGTATGTACCAGGCTTTATGAAGGCACAGGTGATAGTGGAGGAGGTTAGGGAAATAGATGAAGTGATGTATCCAGGGACAGCTGAACGAATGATGGAAGAAATCAAAGATGGAATGCCGAGTGAATGGTTAACAATGATTGAGAGTGAGATCGTTATAGGAAAGGAGAGTGTGGTTGATTTATTTGTGGGGAAAGAGGATGTCAATGTTAAAATAGAAGATGTTAAAACAAAAAATATGTATAAATGGTTAAAAGGGGATGTTATTAGGAGACCTGCATCAGAGAGAGTATGGACGAGTGTTGTGAACGGTCTGACTGGAAGAAGAATGTGGGAGAATGTGAAAATTAAATGGGAACAGTATTGAATGTGAACATTTTGATTTTTTGTTGAGACATAATAGGGTGTTTAACAATCTGATAATTAGTCATTTTGAGGAAACTGTTGAGAGAGAGTGTGATGTTTGTAGAGACCAGGTTGAAACATGTTTGCATGAGTTTGTTGAATGTAGAGAGCTTGGTGTTTTTTTTGGAAGGATGAAAGAGTTAATTGGTAGATGTTGGAATGAATGGTATGTGAGAGAAATGGATTGGAAGGAGCTGTGGCTGTTGGTGTGATTGAGAAGAAGGATGAATGCAATGTGAATCTGTTAAACTATGTTCTGAGCCACGCCAGGCGTGCGTGTCCAGATAAGGAGGAACATTGCCCATTTCGAAGGTAAAATGTCTGACGTGTGGCACATAATGAAGAGGACAACAAAAAGGGACATAAACCTTGTTCTCATACACGTGAAAAATGACATATTTTGTGAGGATTTTGTAATGGCAGCAAATTAATTGAGATGGATGAGGAGGGAGCTCTGTGCTTCAACTTTGAAAAGTGACATAAGACACACTACTTTTCAGTGAAATAATGACAGTATATGTCATTTTTTGTATGCGTTTCATACATTATATGCAGAAAGTACTTTATGTAATTGTGATGAACTGTTAAATGTCTATTTTTGATAATAAAAGATAAAAAAAAAAAAAAAAAAAAAAAAAGTAGGGGGCTTGGACTGTGAGCTGTAGGGTCCCCCGGTTCAAGTCCCCGAACAGACGTAAAATATGGAGTGTGGACTGCTACTTGGAGAGGTCCCAGTTCACCTCCTGCCCTGCCGTGGTGCCCTTGAGCAAGGCACTGGACAACCCCCCCACCGTGCATTTATGTGTGACCTTTAAAGAGGGTTTCATCCCTCCAATTCTATTCTATTCAGTAGGGAGCCTGGGGCCACAACTTCTCTGTGGAAACAGCTGTGGTTTAAAACAAGCATTTAGGCTGATGGTGAGCACATTACCTCCTCCTCAAGGACGTTGTTCTGCAGCAGAAACACATCCAGTATTTGTTCCACTCGGCCCGGGGGTCGTAGGAACAGCAGAATTTTTCCCTTTATTCGCCACTTTAGAAGCCTTCTCAATTTATCGATGATAAGGCCAAAGGAAGAGAGGTGAAGCACCTTCACCACCACGTGAGTGTGTGTGACCTCCAGCGGCTCCAAGATGCTCAGGCCTTCATCAGTGATGTGGACGACAGACAACAGGCCGTCCAGGAGCAGCGCTGTGGAGCAAAGAGCTGGTCATCTGTTGCATTGCTGCTAACACAGCTTCATCATCTTCAATGTCACACCACTTTAGCTCAGAGCTAATGTTCATCTAATGTCATTCACTTTGGAGCCTCACTGGGATGTACCAGTTTATATCCTTCACCTTTTATTTGTAATGTTTAATTATTGTTCCGTCCCCCTGTGATCTTTCTGGATGTGAGCGTGCGTAATTATTTTCTCATTCACAAGACTGCTGAAATGTTTGTAATCTGCAGCCAGAGCAGCTTGACTGTGTCCGGTCTCATGTCTGAGTGATTCTCTAGATGTGTGAAGAGTTCTCTAAAGCTTTTAGGGCGTAGAAAGTCTAACTTATAAATGTTGTTGTCTGTCGTTTTGTTTTGTACATGCTTCAGCCAGACTGACAATGTAAAGAGCAGAAAGAGCAAGAGATGGATAACAAAGTCATAATTAATCAAACTGCTAGCTGAGAGTGAGAGTTAGCGTTGAGTTAGCACTGTTAGCAGCTAAACATGCTGTGGACTGACAGGTCACAGTTTAAATGTCTTTAATATCCAGTGAGGAGACTGCAGAGGACCCAAAGAAAATCCAACTCAGTATTTAGAGCTGCATTGCATCGTATGCTTCAATAATGATGTCATGAAACACATCCACTAAATGGATGTTTTAATCATTTCATTCTTACTTCTTTTGGGGACACGACTATTTTGAATGTAAAGAACAGATTTGGTGTCTGAATTATCTTATCAAGGTTCAAGGTTCAAGGTTCAAGGTTCTTTATTTAGTCATACGTACATAGCTACAGTGCAGTTGTGCCGATGAAAATCTTGTGTCACAGGCTTCTCCAACAGAGCAACACAAAACACAGATACACAGAAAAATATAGTGCAAGTAAATAGTAAATAGTAATACAAAAAGAAATAGTTTAAAAAAAGTGAAATAGTGAAATAGTGCAATAAGAGTCTATATGCAAGTTATTGAAATAGGATATATAGGTAAATAGATAAATAATTTTTAAATATTTGTTAAGTAGCAGCCAGATGAATATTAGGGATGTTGTTTCAACTGTTCAGGTGTTAACAGATTTTGCTTCAACAGTTCTGGTGGTTAACAGTCTTATTGTCTTTGTTAAACTAGTTAACTTTTGAACAGTAGTGGATGGTATAAGGTGCTAAACATTATATAAGTGTATTTGTTAACACTGCAGATGTCTTTACCATCCTCTGTCTCGCTGTGTGGCAGGTGGAGCTGGCAGACGGCAGCTTCATCAGAACTCTTCACGTCGAACAGCGGCCCTGCTGCCTGCTTGCCAGCTGATTGGAGGAGGCTCTCATCCCAAGTGGCCGCCCTGTACAGAAGCTCCGCCTCCTGAGCCATGACGAACACCAGGCCAGTCGAAGCACACTGGAACATACCTGGACCAGGACACCTGAACCTGTAGACACACAAGAGACAAGTTACTACAACAAGCCTTCACTGGCCTGTGTTCTGACTGACAGGTGTTCATCCAGCTGGAGTCTGACCTGGAGGAGGGTTTGTTGAAAGATCTGAAACACCTGATGATTACAGGAGCATCACTGAAGATGTGTCCACATGCATCAGAATGTGTGTAAACACATTTTCATTAAATTAACAAAATGTCTAGTCCAGCGAGGATCTAGACTGGTACAAGAAAACAATCCTACACACAGAGGCATTATCTTATTGATGTCTGCTGGAAAGAGATTGGATGCAGTACCTCAAGGTGAAAGACTTGAAATTAAACACAATTAAATCAATATATATTTTCAATGTGTTTAAAATAATATTTGGTCATGTTATAGGATTACCTGTATGAAGACTCAGTTGTGTGTTCAGGTGAGAAGGATTCAGGAGCCTGGAACAAACAAAGTTATTTATTTTATTAGAAATCAAGTTAAGTTCTAGCTTCAACTCTCAACTGCTCCTCTCTCACCTTTCTGTCTGTCTTCACTTCCTGTTCCACATCGGAGTCACCTGATGGAGAGAAGAGGTGACAGAGAACAATAATAATAAAACTATAATAATTATTGTACTATAAATACCTTTTAAGATCAGATGTATTGTACAATATCTTGATGAATGGAGGGTATGGTTCAGTACTCACAGTTCTTCTGTATCTTGGCTCTGATTGTCTCGTCATTGATCCTGCAGGGATGAACACAATCCAACAGTTTGAGATCAAGTTAAAATAATAGTTTGTTCTTTGAGTTAGTCAGCTTCAGAGTCCTGACTGATCCAATGCTTTACATCACATCATATCTTCTCTGCAAACACTACGACTGACTGCGCACAGCTCTCAGCTGCATTAGAGAATTCACTAGGCATTAGTCCAGGAACATAGAAAAACAAACAGACTTCCTTTTTAACTGTAACATCCCATTTGTCTGTTAATGAGTTGCTCCTGACTGAAATGTGGCGTTGCATTGTCAGCTTGTATTATATTGCTTGATAATAATGAAAGTAAAGAAACACAAGATGAACAAAAGGAGAAACTGCAGACAAATGGTAACAGCCATGATTTGTTGTGCTAAGCTAGGCTACGCCTGGAAGGTGGAACTGGAGAGATTCCCCAGTGAGAGGAACACCTCCACCTCCCTGTGTTTAATACAATACTGCTGAACCAGCAGAGAGTCCACCCCTTACTGACCTGAGAGTCTCCAGTCTGCAGTCTGGACTCTCCAGAAGATCTCTCAGCAGCTCCACTCCTGAATCCTGCAGCTTGTTCTCTCTCAGGTCCAGATCTCTCAGGTAGGAGGGGTTGGACTTCAGAGCTGAGGCCAGAGCAGAACAGCTGATCTCTGACAACCTGCAGCGCCTCAGTCTGAATAAAGAACACATGATCACATGGTTAGTTTAAACTATTCAGTCAGTATAAGCATCTTTTAGCTTCATAAAAATGTTGGAAGAAGCAAATACTGAATATATGTTTTGTGTTTGATTGGAAATACTTATTAATTGTACTCCTTTGTCTTTTATATAATGTAGTAAAATGAAGCTTGATGGAGGTTCAGTGTGAATTATGCAGAGTATAATTCTTATTGTAATGTTTACATTTAAAGCTGAACATTGCTCTGCCACTGTCAGGGAAAGAAACCACAGAAGAAGAAAACAGACTTTAGCATCAAGATACTCCGTGAGGATCAGGATCATATCAGCCTGATGTCTGCAGCTCAGAGTCAACACAACTCTCACATATTCATCTCAGCACAGAAGTTAAAGATGGAGAACTGACCTGAGATCCTCCAGTCTGCAGTCTGGACTCTCCAGAAGATCTCTCAGCAGCTCCACTCCTGAATCCTGCAGAGCGTTGAGACTCAGGTCCAGATCTCTCAGATGTGATGGGTTGGACTTCAGAGCTGAGATCAGAGCAGAACAGCTGATCTCTGACAAACTGCAGCCCTCCAGACTGAATAAAGAAAACATGATGTAAGTTTAGAAAAACAAAGTTTCAGCTTAAAATATTCAAGGTTCAATAATCTGTTTATAGCTGGAGAAGTAGAGAATGTAGGAGTTTATAAAGTGGACATCCTGACAGGTTAAAAACTGTAAGATCCAGAAAGAGAAAAGAGCTCTCATTAATATGAAAGACAACGTGCTTCACCTTCAATAAAAAGTGGAGACTTCACATCTGAACCTCTGCTCCATCTACACTAACTCATGATGTGCAGCCAGACTAATACAAACCCACTGAAACTGATTCAACTCAAGATCACACACTTTACAAATATGACAAATATGTCGGGATGAATTTAGAAGAAATGTGATAAAAAATAGACAGAGAATATTTATTTCAGAAATAGTGGAGCCATACATCCAAAGCATCTTCAGTTTAAACTCCTCACTCAGTATGAGCATCATGTAGCTTCATACAAATGTGAGAAACAGCTAAAACTGAACATATTTGTCAGTGTTTGATAGTTTTAATATAAAATATTTAATTATTGTATTCATGTGTTTATAATGTCATTTATTTAAAACACATGATGGAGAATATAAGATGAATTTGAGGTTTTTAGGAGGTTCAGAGTGAATTATGCAGTTTGATTTTTCCTTAAAGAGCAACTTGCAGGTTAGAGACCCCAGTGAATAAATGTGTAGGAAAATGATGTATACACTAGATTTTCAAAACAATATACATAAATAAACACTACAGTGACATCTGGCGTGGTTTCTGTAAGACATTTTTACTTCCGCATAAAAGAAGACCACCCGCGTGTGACGTCACATGAGGGAGAGCGGCCGGTCTAACGTATTAATAAACATGGATCACAATGCTACTTTTGACACAGAAGAGGTTGAAAATGTATATTCGAATGCATATGACGGACCACAACCTTATAATGATGAGCCTGCTAGGCGTCCAAGAGACCAGGAGCAGCCAAGGATTAGAAGGAATAACGGCCATCGGAGAGAAATGGAGCTGTGGTGTGAGGAGAACCAGTGGAGAACAGGGCAGCTGTCTTGGTGAGTGACCGGCGTTAGCTACAGTTCATGTTAGCTAACGTCGGTCACATCACAACATTGTAAAGTTAGCTATCATATATCAGGCTATAACTAAAGTAGTATTGATCATATAGAAACGTTACTGGCAGGACTGTTGATACTGATCCATGACAGAAACTAATGCGCAAGTATCAGCCGTATCTCGCGTTACCTAATGCAACTCCACACTACGTCTGACAGTGCTGTGTACCGGAGGGGGAGAGAGAGGAGCGAAGGGGGGGAGAGAGAGGAACGAAGGGGGGGAGAGAGAGAGGAGCGAAGGGGGGGGAGAGAGAGAGGGAGCGAAGGGGGGGAGAGAGAGGGAACGAAGGGGGGGTTAGAGAGAGGGACGAATGGGGGAGAGAGAGAGAGAGAGGAACGAAGGGGGGAGAGAGAGAGAGGAGCGAAGGGGGGAGAGAGAGAGGAACGAAGGGGGGAGGGAGAGAGGAACGAAGGGGAGAGAGAGAGGAGCGAAGGGGGGGAGAGAGAGAGGAGCGAAGTGGGGGAGAGAGAGAGCGAGGAACGAAGGGGGGAGAGATGAGAGGAGAACGAAGGGGGAGGTGAGAGACGGAGAGGAGCGAAGGGGGGATTCAGGATCCTATCAGCCTGATGGTCTGCAGCTCAGAGTCAACACAACTCTCACATATTCATCTCAGGCACCAGAAGTTTTAAGATGGAGAACTGACCGAGCCCCTCCAGTCTGCAGTCTGGACTCTCCAGAAGATCTCTCAGCAGCTCCACTCCTGAATCCTGCAGAGCGTTGAGGACTCAGGTCCAGATCTCTCAGATGTGATGGGTTTGGACTTCAGAGCTGAGATCAGAGCAGAACAGCTGATTCTCTGACAACTGCAGCTCTGCAGACTGAATAAAGAAAACATGATGTAAGTTTAGGAAAAACAAAGTTTCATCTTAAAATATTCAAGGTTCAATAATTGTTTATAGCTGGAGAAGTAGAGAATGTAGGAGTTTATAAAGTGGACATCCTGACAGGTTAAAAACTGTAAGATCCAGAAAGAGAAAAGAGCTTCTCTATAATATGAAAGACAACGTGCTTCACCCTTCAATAAAAGTGGAGACTTAACATCTGAACCTCTGCTCCATCTACACTAACTCATGATGTGCAGCCAGACTAAACAAACCCACTGAAACTGATTCAACTCAAGATCACACACTTTACAAATATGACAAATATGTCGGGATGAATTTAGAAATGTGATAAAAAATAAATAGAGAATATTTATTTAGGAATAGTGGACCCATACATCCAAAGCATCTTCAGTTTAAACTACTCAGTCAGTATGAGCATCATGTAGCTTCATACAAATGTGAGAAACAGCTAAATCTGGAAATATTTGTTAGTGTTTGATAGTTTTAATATAAATATTTAATTATTGTATTCATGTGTTTATAATGTCATTTATTTAAAACATGATGGAGAATATAAGATGAATTTGAGGTTTTTAGGAGGTTCAGAGTGAATTATGCAGTTTGATTTTTCCTTAAAGAGCAACTTGCAGGTTAGAGACCCCAGTGAATGAATGTGTAGGAAAATGATGTATACACTAGATTTTCAAAAGAATATACAAAAATAAACACTACAGTGACATCTGGCGTGGTTTCTGTAAGACATTTTTACTTCCGCATAAAAAAAGACCACCCGCGTGTGACGTCACATGAGGGAGAGCGGCCGGTCTAACGTATTAATAAACATGGATCACAATGCTACTTTTGACACAGAAGAGGTTGAAAATGTATATTCATAACAGCGTTGTGATGCCAAACAGCGTCAATTCAGACTGACACACATTCACTTAAGGGGAACTGGGGATATGTAGGGATTGAGCATCATGTAGCTTCATACAAATGTGAGAAACAGCTAAAACTGACATTATTTGTAAGTGTTTAATAGTTTTGATAGAAATATGTATTAACTGTAATAAACTGTTTATTATATCATTTATAAAAGAAACCTGATAGAGAATATAAAATGAACTCCAGGTGTTTCAATGTTCAGAGTGAATTATGAAGTGTAGGATTTTCTTGTTGTATTTTAATGTAAAGCTCAACATTAGTCTGCCACAGTCAACACATGTTCTGTAGAATCCCATATGTCTGGTAACAAGTTGCACTGACTAACATGTGGCTTTGCATTGTCAGCTTGCATTATATTGTTCTTGGGAGAATGAAAGAAAAGAAACATAAGATGAACAAAAGGAGAAAACTGCAGACAAATGGTAACATCACATGATTTGTTGTGCTAAGCTAGGCTACGCCTGGAAGGTGGACCTGGAGAGATTCCCCAGTGAGAGGAACACCTCCACCTCCCTGTGTTTAATACAATACTGCTGAACCAGCAGAGAGTCGACCCCTTACTGACCCGAGAGCCTCCAGTCTGCAGTCTGGTCTCTCCAGAAGATCTCTCAGCAGCTCCACTCCTGAATCCTGCAGCTTGTTGTGACTCAGGTCCAGAGCTCTCAGATGTGAAGGGTTGGACTTCAGAGCTGAGATCAGAGCAGAACAGCTGATCTCTGACAACCTGCAGCGCCTCAGACTGAATAAAGAAAACATGATGTAACTTTAGAAAGCAAAGTTCCTAGAAAGGGCGCGAAAGTCATTTCATTCATTAAAATAATAGTGTCTTCATGTCTTGAAGCTGCTGAGTCATATACTGCACCTCAAACAACAAATACATCCAGAGTTACAGTTTCTTTACTTCCTCTACAGAAAAAAGGACAGTGAAAGAAACTCAGAAATCTCAGTTTCAGATGAAGCCTGCTGCAGACCCCACCGGACATCCAAGGAGATAATAAGGTTCTCTAAGGTTTAATAATCGGTGATAATCGGTGATAAGAAGATGCAATTACAGTATGTATACAGATTTCATTGATCATGAGAAATGTGAATAAAAATAGCTCACAGTTTAGATTGTTTAGATTTCAAAATAAGGATTGCATTATCTGTAAATAAATCCCATAAAACAATACATCATTACAAATAACATGAAAGGAACAATGTGAACTTGGTTCAGGCGGCATCCAACTATTCAGGTCACTCACAATAACTTGTCGTGTAAAGGTCATCGCTTTCAGCAAGCCACAGTTGGTATAGTTAAAATAATCCTTGTAGCAATTCACTCTCAACACTGCACTCTGCTTCCAGTCAATTAGCCTTCAACTGAGTCCAGCAAAAGCTTCACATGGATAGTTTGCCGCCCACTCACGGCTTCTGTACATTTGCACTCTTCTCTTTGTTACAGTAATCATACGGGAACAAAATATATTTCTAAAACATGCTTTGAGGAAAAAGATCAGTTGTCTCCTTGCTTGGAGCATAAGTTAAATGAATTTGAATCAAAGCTGGATTCCCCAATAACTACTCGAAGCAGCCAACCGATGTTCTGTAACAGACAGAAGTAACTGTGATTGAGTGGAGCTGGCTATTTTTGAGGTATGGCCTCCTGAGGGGAGAGTGCTGTCCGCTGGAGCAAGTTGCCCTCGTAATGTTTTGTCTGATGGTCTGTCTTCTCAGGGTATTGAGGGCGCTCCATGCTGCCCTAAATGCATTTTGCTGCAGGGAACATTCGGGGCTGTTTGGACGAAGATTGTGAGAAATCAATCTCCAAGTTTGCTGATGCTTCTGGGCAGAAGTGACGAGATAATGTAGACTGTCTCTATATAGTTATCAAGTGCATTATCTTTTTTTTGTGTTGCCTAAATCCACGTTTCTCTTGTTTGAACTTTATAATGACACGCCAATGTTTCGGCAGATACCTGGATAATGCCTACAATCATATATTTCATTTATGTTATATACAATCAGAATAATTTCATAATAATAAATAATATCTCTAAGGTTTAATAATCGGTTCAGAGCTCAAAATGGTTTTAATGTCAGCAATGATGTGGAAAACCCCTCTCCCACTCCGGCCTCCCTCTACCTGCTCCCTCCTCCAGCTCACCTGTGGGAAATCCTTTCCCCCATGAACAAAGAAGCTGGCTGGCCTCATGCAACTCCTGAGAACCAATCGTTTGAGTAAATAATCAGTACGTGTTCCTTTCCTTTGTATTGTATGTTCATAGCAGCTCCAGTAGTTTACCTCCCTATTTTCTGTACCGTTTAGATTTGGTTACTTTATTTCTACATTACATATAATAATGTAGAAAGATAACTGCTTTGCTGGAGTATCATTTGAAGTATGAATGTTATGTTTGAACTAACTAAGATGTGTTGTACTTTCCTACCAGATCAACCAGACAACAATTAAGACAAACAAGAATCAACAAATTACAATGAAACAATGATCTGGAACTCCTGCCTCCATGTGCTCATCTTTAAATCCACTGCGTTGACTGTTTAGTCCTTGAACCAACCACCCTCACCACCCTCCATATTCTTCAAAGGATGTAGATTCAAAACAATTGATAAGCTCAAACTCTCTGCAGCAGTTTTTCTCAGCAACATCTTTGACCTCCTTCATCTCCCTCACAGCTCATCAGTACTGACAGCATCTTCACTGACTCATGGAGCACAGTGAGAGTGAAGGCTGAAAGGATATCTCACATGAGAGCGGTTGGACTTCAGATTCACACATTTACTTTCTCTGCTTTTTGTTGTTCTTTAAAATACTCAGCCATTTAGAAAGAAACATAAAATAATGTAAATGTCTTTGAACTCTTAGTACTAAACTCTGGAATTAGAAATAATATAAATGTTAAATAAATAGAAATCCACATGAACTACAGCCAGTGATCTGACCTGAGAATCTCCAGTTTACAGTTTGGACTCTTTAGTCCAGAACTCAGCATCTCCACTCCTGAATCCTGCAGCTTGTTGGCTCTCAGGTCCAGCTTTCTCAGGTGGGAGGGGTCGCACTTCAGAGCGGAGGCCACGACTTCACAGTCAGAGTCTGAGATTCCACAGTTAGGAAATCTGCAATGACACATATATTACAGCATGTTATTATAAAACAAGGGGAAACATTACATTTACTTCATGCATTTGATAAAAAACATTTAGAATATAATGTTTTGAATAACTCTGATGCTAGTAATTAATATCTTATTGAGTTTGCTGTAAGCTTTTTCAGTGTGATCTGATCCCATGTTTGTCCCGTCGGACCTACCTTCTGCTGTCAGTGAACAGAAATTAAACAAATCGACAATATAAGAGATGTACATAATGATAAGTTAATATATTTGGATGTGCATGACACTGAATGCATAATGTGTTGGCTTCTCAAAGCGTCTAAGAATGTATAATGCACACAAACATATTGAACAAACCAATAAGTTTACATTATTTTCAACAAAACACCATGAAAAATATGTTATCTGTGTATCAGCGTTAAAACACAATCTGACCTCTGTTCTTGGTGGGATTATGTAGGTCTTGTTTTAAAAGAGTCAACATAAATCAGATATTACTCTGTGTCTGATTGAACTATTAAGAAACTGCAGTAATGTAATAATAACTTTACTGCATTCACTGATATCTGTGAAATACTGCTGTATGTTGTGATCACATGTTGCTGTGATAAATCATAGGTCCTTCAGAAAAATGAAGAAAAGAAAAAACTGAAACATTTTTAATTATTAGAATAATTACATTTATCTTTCACAGTATTTGAAACAGCAAAAAGTTGAATAGTGTTTATTAAAAAAATATCCTTAATATCTACATTAGTTTATAAAGTTAATCACATCTGGACTCACACAGCCTCGCTGCAGTTCATCAAATCTGGAATCACTCTCTGTCGTCCCTCCTCTAATGTTCCGTACTTCTCGTGGTCCAACTCATCCAGAACCTCCTCTGACATCTGCAGCATGTAGGCCAGAGAAGACAAGTAGGTCTCTGATGGGTTCTCTGACTTCAGGAACTCTGTGATCTCCTGATGGACTGAGTGGTCCTTCATCTCTGTCAGACAGTGGAAGATGTTGATGCTCCTGTCAAGAGAGATTTCATCACTGTGCATCTTCTTCAGGTTGTTGATGGCTCTCTGGATGGTTTCTGGACGGTTGTCTGTGCGACCCAGCAGGCCTCCTAAGAGTCTCTGGTTGGACTCCAAAGAGAGGCCGTGGAGAAAGCGGACAAACAGGTCCAGGTGGCCATTTTCACTTCTGAGGGATTTCTTCATGGCTCCCTCCAGGAAGACATCCAGGGATGGGTAATCCTGATCACTGTTATACCTGTTGCTATAGTCTCCCTGCAGGAAGTCCTTCAGAACCTCTGTGTTCCTGTTGGTGTAACAGTGCAGCATGTAGACTGCAGCCAGGAACTCCTGAATGCTCAGATGAACAAAGCAGTAGACTGTTTTCTGGAAGATCACTCTCTCACTTTTGAAGATCTGTGTACAAACTCCTGAGTGCACCAAGGCCTCAGTGACATCAAGACCACAGCGCTCCAGGTCTTCTTGGTAGAACATGATGTCTCCTTTCTCCAGATGTTCAAACGCCAGCCTCCCCAGCTTCAGAAGAACCTCCCTGTCAGCCTTCGTCAGCTTCTGTGGACTCGTCTCATGTCCCTCACCATACTTCTGCTTCTTCCTCTTTGTCAGGACCAGCAGGAAGTGGGAGTACATGTCAGTGAGGGTCTTGGGCAGCTGTCCTCTCTGGTCTGTAGTCAACATGTGGTCCAGAACTGCAGCAGTGATCCAGCAGAAGACTGGGATCAGACACATGATGTGGAGACTCCTGGAGCTCTTGATGTGAGAGATGATTCTGCTGGACAGCTCTTCATCACTCGATCTCCTCCTGAAGTACTCCTCCTTCTGGTCGTCAGTGAAGCCTCGTACTTCTGTTACCCTGTCCACACACTCAGGAGGGATCTGATTGGACGCTGCAGGTCGGGAAGTTATCCAGACGAGAGCCGAGGGAAGCAGCTTCCCCCTGATGAGGTTTGTCAGCAGCACGTTGACTGAGGACTGCTGAGAGACATCAGACACAACCTCATTGTTTCTGAAGTCCAGAGAAAGTCTGCTTTCATCCAGGCCGTCAAAGATGAGCAGCACTTTGCAGACAGCCAGCTGCTCTGCTGTGACCTTCTGTAAGGTTGGATGGAAAACATGGAGCAGCCTGAGAAGACTGTACTGCTCACCTTTGATCAGGTTCAGCTCCCTGAAGGAGAGCGGGATCACCAGACTGACATCTTGGTTTTCCAAACCCTCGGCCCAGTCCAGAGTGAACTTCTGCACTGAGAAGGTTTTTCCAACTCCAGCGACTCCGTTGGTCAGGACCGCTCTGATGAGAGGTTGGTCAGGTAAGGCTTTAAAGATGTCCTGGCACTTGATTGGAGTGTCATGGAGGGGCTTCTTCTGGGAAGCTGTCTCCAGCTGCCTCACCTCATGTTGGGTATTAACCTCTTCACTCAGGCCTTGTGTGATGTAGAGCTCAGTGAAGATGCTGTTGAGGAGGGTTTCACTTGTATCAGTTCCTTCAGTCACATGTTCACATCTCCTCCTCAGACTGATCCGATGTTCATCTAAAACCTCCTGCAGACCACTATCTGCTGAAGGAGAAGGAAACGTGTGAGTAATACAAATAAAACAAATAAATAAAAGGGTTCAGAATGAATGTCTTTGCTGTAACAAATGAACCAGGAAGAATCCTGTTTTCAGACATGAAGACCCCAGCAGACAGATATTTAGACTTACTTTGTACAGTGCTGGTCTCACTGGCTCTCTGCACTCCAGCTCTTGTTCTGGATGTGTTCCTCGTCCCTCTGTTGAGATGAACACATCCTTTATAGCGCAGGTATATGTACATAATAAAAACATCTTCCTGTCTGGATTCATAACATAATTTAAAGTTGGACACAGCAAGTTCATCGTATATAGCAACTCACACGTCATCAAAATTAGGGCTGGGCGATATGGCCTAAAAATAATATTGCAATATTTTTAACCTGTATCGCGATAAACACAATATAAATTGAGATATTTAGAAATCCCGTTCCATACCCAACACACCAGTATGAGGATTGTTACATTAAGACATTAAGGGCTAGTCATGATCATTTGCATCTCGTCTTCATCTATTGTACATCGTGGATCACGTCGGAACTTTCAAAACACCAAACACAGTAGCCACACAAATACTCGCTCAGTCTGGTCCACAAAGCCCTGCTCCTCCTCGGGAATAATGCTGAACCAGACGGGCTCGGAGGTAAAGACGGGTGAGGGTGTTTGCGGACGCAAAGGACAGCCATAGACTGTAGAGGACAGCCCGCTAGGGGAAGCAGTGAGGTCTGTTGTGTGTACCATACAGAGTCTATGGTTCATACACATACATTAAAAACACTGAATTAATATGAGGTACTGTAAAGCTTGGCTGCTGATGTTTTCCTTTACTGATTCAACGTCAGCACGTCAGCACGTCAGCACGTCAGCACGTCAGCACGTCAGTGACGACAGTAGCAGAATCTCAACACTGACAGGTTTGTGCGTCAGAGCGTCACACAAATATCTCGATCAAGTTGACATTTTCAAGTTGCGGCTATACGCGGGTACAGGGCCGGCTCGTGGCATAGGCAGTATAGGCGAATCCACCCGCAAATAAGGTGGGAAGAAAAAAAGAATTTCAAAATGTTGTCTCCGTCCTCGGCTCTGTGTGCGTGTGGCACAGCACATTTTGTGTGAGCGAGCGAGACAGAGAGAGGGCACTGGTTACAGGGATTGTTGTTAGCATCCATAGACTGGATATCCAGGGGTGCACATCACTTTTTTAGTGAGTGACTCAGATGAGTACCAGGAGACAGCGTTTGGTACTCACCCCACACGTAGCGTGGTTTTAATAAGTGCAGTCTTCCTCACTATCCTCCTCAGTGTCTCCTTCACTGTCCTCTAGTTCCTCTTCTTGCATGGTAGATGATGAAGATGCTGCAGATGCACCTCCCTGTCCCTGTTTAAGCCTCAGATTTGCATTCTCCAAAACTTGTTGGCAAAACTGTGAAGTCCTTGCATTTCCTGAGGCCAAGTTGAAGGATCAACTACTAAGAAATGAGCACATGACTTGAAGTCATATCTGATTTCAGATGTGGGAAGTAACTAAGTACACTTATTCAAGTACTGTACTTTGGTACAATTTTGAGATACTTGTACTTTATTTGAGTATTTCTATTTTATGCTACTTTGTACTTCTACTCCACCACATTTATGTAATACCTTTAGTTACTTGACAGATCTGGATTAATGATGTGAAATATAATCAAGTCTTAAATCAGACTTTAGTTACACCTGGAGTAAATTCACAACTCGGAAGCTGCACAGCATCGAACCGCAAGACCCTGCAGCGCATCGTGAACACAGCTGAGAGGATCATTGATGCCTCACTCCCATCCCTCCTGGACATTTACAACACCCTCCTCGCCCGCAAAGCACTCAGCATTGCTGGTGACCCCACCCATCCCTCCACCTGCCTCTTCACCCTCCTTCCTTCAGGGAGGAGGCTCCGCAGCCTGAGGTCGAGCACCACCCGACTAAAACACGTTTCTTCCCACCAGGCTGTCAGGAGGCTGAACTCTCTTCCCTCGTTGTTTTTCAACAAGATATCAAGACACAAAATGTGCTCTACCAAATGGTGCCACTGGCAGTTAAAGGGTTAACAACATCCTGCCCACCAAGTTCTTACTCTTGTTATTTTCCATCTGAAAAAGATCTATTCAAAAAGATGTTTCTGACCCACGCCACGCAGGTTTAACTTTCTTCTTCTTTGTTTCTGTACTGCGCTCATGTAGTTACGAAATAACAGTTTAGATGATCAGATAACATAAACACTGAATCCTCTTCAGGTCAGTTCACCGGAGAAACAGACTCTCACTTTGTTTCTGAGGGTCCAGGTTGATCCCTGAAGTCCAGAAGTCTGTCTGTAGACCGGTCACTCTTCAGAGACAGAGAGCTGGGGACTGAAGATGTGTCCTCCTTCTCATCTTTTGAATCACTCATCTTCTCCAGTCTGACAGATACACCAGTAACACTGCACACACACACACACACACACACACACACACACACACACACACACACACACACACACACACACACACACACACACACACACACACACACACACACACACACACACACACACACACACACACACACACACACACACACACACACACCACACACACACACAACACACACACAACACACACACACACACACACACACACCACACACACACACAACACACACACACACACACACACACACACACACACACACACACACACACACACACACACACACACACACACACACACACACACACACACACTACACACACACACACACACACACACACACACACACACACACACACACACACACACACACACACACACACACACACACACACACACACACACACACACACACACACACAATTTTACATTACAATTTAATAAAAAACATCATAATGACAAACCTTGGTTTCAATACAACACATAAGTCAGACTTCTCACAGGTTGCTCATGTAACTATCATAGGAGGCTGTGGCTCAGTGAGGGAGTGCGCTGAACTTCTGATTACTGCAGTCAGCATGTCGTGGGCTTGCCCACATCCTGTCGCTCTGGATAAAAGCAGAGATTGCAAAAGTACACACACCTTTACTCAAGTAGAAGTACAGATACTCGTGTTTAAAAATACTCTGGTAAAAGTAGAAGTACTGACTAAACTTCTTTACTCAAGTAAAAGTAAAGAGGGCTTTGAAATGTACTTCAGTAAAAAGTACCCATAACTAGCAGCTGTTTTAAAGAGTACCTGACCTCCCTTTATATTAATAGAACAATAATGTCATTGTTAGCTAATGAATGTTTCCATGCTGAACAACGGCAACATGACAACGTTTTCATTGGTCCCTCTTCTTTAGAGAAGACCAGGAAATGATGGATACACGGATCGTGTTCAAATCAATAGGCACGCAATGACTCTAAATAATAATGATCACGCCACCAAACACACATTCAAACTAAAGTAACCAGCCTGTTTGGGAAATGTAAGAAGTAGAAAGTACAGGTATTTGTGTTCAAAATGTATGAAGTAAAAGTAAAAAGTCGTCAGAAAAATAAGTAGTGGAGTAAAGTACTGATACCAGAAAAATGTACTGAAGTACAGTAACAAAGTATTTGTACTCCACTACTTCCCACCTTTGGATAAAAGCGTGTGATAAGGCAGTGGTCCGCTGCCTGGTATCGATGTTACCGATTAACGTGTGGCCGGGTAACTGGTGATATTCTATAACGGTAGGCAGATGTATCAGGGGCGTGGCCTTTTAGGAGCCATTAGCTGCGTTCACACCAAGTACTTTGCCGTATTTAGTGCCGGCACTCAGAGCCCCAGCACTTATGACCCCAGGGCATTTAGTACAGATCGCGTTCACACCGGAGTACTTTTCCCTAAGGGAAGATTACGCAAATGAGCCGCTGACGTCACTTCGTCTTCTTCTGCTTTGGGTTTACTGGCAGGCAGCAAACAACTTCACGGCGTATACTGCCACCCGGAGTCCCCGGCCGGAAGTCCCCGGAGTTGGGGACTGGCTTCAGTAGAAGCTGCTGGGACTCCCAGCAGCGTCTACTGAAGCCTTCCGAGTAAATCGCCAGAACGCCGACACCTCCTCATCTCCACCGCTCCCATGTTTTGTTTTGTGTTGCCATAAGTTAGTCTCTCTGCATTTGTGCGATGGGCGAATGATAATGCTAATAATGCTAATGCGAGGATAATAAAATGGCGGCTCTACAAAACATTTCAGAGTTGTACGGGGCGTGGTTTGCAATTCGCCCAGCCAACCAGAACTGGGGCACTTTTTTCCCCCAGGAAACTACGATCTCTCAGCAGGCACTAAAAATGGGGGTAAAAGTTCCCGAGATGAAGTGCTCTTTTTGGTGTGAACGCGACATAAGGGGTACTAACGGAACTAAACGCGAAAAGTACGGTGAAAAGTACTCCGGTGTGAACGCGGCTAATGTGGAATAACCAGGAAATACACATTTCGATCGCTTCTTCTGTCGTTTACATTAATCTTTTGGTATATGTGGCTCCATAGGAACACTTTGATGCACATTCAGTACCAGTGTGTGAGGTTGCGGTTGCGATGCCGATATCCGGACGCGTACAGCGAGGACTACAAAATGACAATGAGGTGACTGGGGATGTGTGTTCAAAACATTGTAAGCTTGAATAAATCATTTAAACCAGTTATTTTTGCCAGACTTATTACTGAATATCATTCTTAATGTGATACCAAGTCCATCTGAGACCTGTGTATACCTTCAGACAGCCTCCAAGTGAAGCACGCACAGTTTACTCACAGTTTGAAAGCAGCGTGGAGAAGTCTTCAGCTGTGGAGCTGTGATCCGCTCAGGTTAAACTGTGATACGACTTCTGTGGCTATCTACCAGCGATCATGTTTAATATTAAAGACTACACACATGTATCCCTTATCAAAATGGTATTCTGCACTTTGCAGCACTTTTCCAGATAAGATGTGACTGTTTACTTGGTTAACTTTTGTTATGCATCGATACAGCGACACCAAATGACAAGGGTACTCACATACGTTGAGAACTAGAAACACAAATAACTTTTTCACACTGTTGTGAACATGTTTTATGCTTTTATCTTTGTGGTCTTTGTTCTCATATGTTGTATCTATTTCTGTGTAACTTGGTAATATTCATATTAATTCCTTGTTATTGTTGTCTTTCCATCTGTCGGTGATGATTATAACTACATAACGAAACACATGGCCTGATTTGCATATTTGAACTTAATGTGTGCACTGGAATACATTTATATGTGAAATGACCACTTATCACAACATAATGTGGACTGGCAGGCTGATAAACTAGGATATCTGATCTCGGTGGGTCTTAATGAGGCTTGATACAGACCTCAGTCAGTATACTATTTATAAGAAAATGCCTACTATAATATATATATTATATGGCTTAAAGTATACATAAATTCGCTCACATTATAAATGATGGTGGGGTTGCATTTTTCTGAATCTTTTAACAATGTTAATGTGTGAAATTCAGCTGTGATGAATGAAGATGTCATTTCGATGGACACTGAATTATATTTTTGAATAGAGGATTGGATTGGATTAGTTTTGAGTCATAAAGATAAAGCAACACTTTCTCAGAATCAAGCAAAACTAAGAGTTTAAGAGAAAAAACAACCGAGTCAAGCAAAATAAATTAAAACAATAAAACTATAAGTTGAAAACAAATCATTTGTGTAATCATGTCAACTATATGTCTTTTTTCTTTGTTTTAACATATTTTTGTTTGCAGTTCTCTTTCCTTCTTTCTCAATGATCAGACCTTTGCTCTCGCTGCAGCTCTCTCGTTTGCGCTAGTGATGTGTCGGTCGCGAACGAGCCGATTATTTTGAACGGCTCTTTGTACGAACGAAGGGAACCGAGTCGTACTTGGTGAGAGCCGTTCTTTTTATCGTTCAATCGTTGGTCCGCACTCACTGCCTGTCAAAATCCACTCGCCTTTTAAAAAGCTTGATTTTGTTCCCCAAACGTATTCTGTGAAGACCCGCCCCTACTCTGATTGGTAGGTTTCAGCACGAGGAGTGAGATGGGGTGGGTCTTAAGGGAATACGCGAGAGAGAGAAGTCATAACAAGTGGTAGCCTAAAGCAGAGCCGGCCCGACCCATTAAGTGACATAAGCGGCCACTAAGGGCCCCCTAGCAAAAAATAAATGAAAAAGAAAATGAATTATTTATTTTTTTATCTCAGTACACCGTTTTTTATCTCAGTACACCGTCGCCGTGATAAGTATGTTTAATTAATCTTGTTAATATGCCTAGATTGCCTACTCTCAAAGTCATGTATTATATTATTGAGCCAATCATATAATACATTAACCGTGCTTTACCTGAACCTCATCATGAGAGAACGGCAGGATTGTAATTTCCCGTGTTCAGTGAATGCAACAGACGCAAGACACCAGACCAACCAGAGAGTTGAATGGAAATAAACATCTGTCTTATTGGCTGACAGGTACCTATCCTGTGAGCTGTGACAATGTTTAAAATAAACTGTCAGTCTTAGACTCAGAGTTTTTGAAGATGGACATAAGAACAATTTTTCTTAAAAAAGACGACAATTCTCAAGTGGTGGCTCACACAACAACCCCAGAGCCAGCACTTGAGCCAGGAGAAATTACAGCTACGTTGATGTTACTTTGAATTGCGGGGGTAAGCTAAACCGTTAGCAAGTAGCTATAGCTAGCCAGATATATTAAATAAACACTTTGTCATTCAATCTAAATGTAATGTTTATTAGCATTACCTGGTGATTTCAAAGAAAGCTCTCTGGGAAATGTTGACTTACTGTTCGACATGAAGCTAGAAGCTACCTTACAGTACACAGTTGATCCTGAATCCTGTCAGTTAAAGTGTTTCATAGTTAGCTTAGCTAAGCATCAACCTAGCACTGAAATATATGGATGTTATGTGACAGTATTTCTGAGAAAAAGTCAGCTGAAATGGTGGCATAGTTGCCACTGCTTTACGTGTCGACAGCATGTTTGAACGTATTTGCAGCAGTAAATGTGGCTGTTTGGCCACTGACGTTGCCATAACAACACCTGAATGTAAATGTGCAACCTCTTTTTGTGACAGATTCTTGCATGAAATTATAATTCTTCTGAATGATATTCCTATTGACAGTTAGTTTTTATGTGAACATTATGAGATGGACAGCCAGAGAGAATAAATGAAAAACAGTTATGAAATACTATATGACAAAACAAGAATACAGTTTAAAAGGGGAGTGATTTGTAAAATATCCATAAAGAAAAATCTGTTTACAGTTCTGTTTCATATGGGTGTTGAGAGATGTATCCATAGATCTCCTAATTTTGCTCTCAAAGTGCACCAGATTGATGCTTTTAACTTCAATATTTAAAAACAAATCTTCCCGGGGGAGCATGCCCCCGGACCCCCCTAGAGGAGGT